TAGACAGCTAAAAATTAATGAACGGTATCGGGACACCCCTACCTCAGCCGAGAAAGACCATCGAAATCCCCTTTTGATTTCCGACTTTTCACCGCCCTCGCACAGGCACAACTGCACTCCGGAAACCAGCTCCCAGCGACACTCGAGCATCTGCTCCTCCAACAGGCAAAGGCAGCGGCAGACTAGTTGTTTGCCGATGAATCTCTGAGTCTGACTTCTTCCTTCGAATCCAACCTACTCCTTCGACTTTGCAGCAGCCACTGTTCGCATAAGGCATAACCTAGATAGCTTTCCAAGTTTTCTTATTTCAAAATTTCAATTGGGTCATGTTCTTGTTTGGTAGTCATATGTTGCATTCTTCGTTGCCTTTGTTCTTGTTTGGGTGAGAGCCGAGAGGAGCAGAAGTTTGGATGCTGCGGCAGGGTGTTTCGTTCCAGAAATATGCTCTTTATTCATTCCTTAGTTGTTTTTATTGTTGTCTCTGAATTAGGTACAAACAAATGGAAAGATATTACACAAGAAAGGTCCTTAGTACTCCAAATTTTCAAACTGAAGGTGTCGAAGCTAGTGGAAGTAGACAAGCTCAAACCTTTCATCTCTCACAGGCAGTGGGAGCTCCTCAAACACAAGAACCAAATCTTTCAGGTTCAGTCAATCACTCTTCAGAGAAAAGTGAGTCTTCTTCAGCAAAGCCAGATATGGAGTTTGATATAAACTCTTTGCCACTAGATCCGGGATTAAGAGCTAAAATATCTAGTTTTCATCCCAATATCCATGATGAGGTTAGAAGATATTATCATCAAAAGGGTCCTATTCAACCAAAGGGTCATGCTTTTCCTTGGAGAAATTTCAGTGGAAAGAACCGTAGATTCCAAGAGTCTTGGTTTAAAAAGCATAATTGGCTTTTGTATAGTGTTTCAAAAGATGCAGCTTATTGTCTATACTGCTATGTGTTCAGCAAAAGAGGTGAAAGTGATGATGGCTTTATTGGTGAAGGTTTTAAGACATGGAATAAATTGAAAGCTTTTGTTGGTCATGTTGGTGCACATAACAATTACCACAATAGAGATAAAAACAATTCTGATCTTTTAATGAAGCAAGCAACAGGCATTCAAGTTGCATGATGCAGACAATCAGATCAAGCCATAAGAGATTATCGAATTCGTTTGGTTGCTCGATTTTATCCTTAAGAGTTTGGTCACCTATCTGACTCATTTCTTCTATGGGACTTTGAGAATTACTATCATTGTGTTAAGAATGATGAGTTATTCCGTGGATTAAAATGAATTGATGAATTATCTCAGTTGATGGTAACGAAAAAAGTGAATCTTTCATATCCATGGATCTATTTGCTTCTCAAGGTTGTATTGATTCTACCATTGCGACATCAAGTGTTGAAAGAGCCTTTTCAGCTATGGGTTATATCAAGAACAAGCTTCGGAATCGAATGGGAGATCAATTCGTGAATGATTGTCTTGTAGGGTATATTGAAAGGGATTTGTTGTGCAATGTAAACATAGAGTGTATTTTGCTATTTTTTCAGAATATGAAAACTCGTCGTGGACAATTGTCGTAACTTGTACTTATCGGTATTTTTTCCATTGAATACTAGTCGGATAATTTCTTATTTGAGAAATATATAAATTTAATTTTTTAGAGGACACCCCTATTTAAAATTCCTGGATCCGCCACTGAACCAGATCCGGTGGGGGTGTTGAGGAGGGTCAGTCAAGGATACGGTGGATGTCTTGGCGCAATATGTGATGGAGTAAGCATGACGGATGTATAGGGTTTTGCCGGTTCGAACATTTTAATCAAGATCTATTGGCCAAAATTTGATGGCGAATTCTGACTGAACCCTATTCCCTCCTAGCCCAGGTTTATAAAAGGAAATATTTTCCCACATGGATTTTTCTCACTGCCACGGCTCGCTCTCGCACATCTTGGGGATGGCAGAGTATCCTCTATGGTCGTCAATTATTAGAGATGCGTTTACGATGGCAAATCGGGAATAGCCAAACTGCTTCTCTGCTTCATTCAAACTGGATTCCTCAATTACATCCTAATTCTGCAGTGTATACCCCCGAGTGCTCCCTCAAGGGGGGAGACCCGTCAGTCGCCGAGGTTCTATGCCAAGGAGAAGGTCGTTGGTGTGACCTTAAACTTAGCCAGTGGTTTGATCCATCTACCTTTCGGGCCATAAAAGCTATCCCTATTCCACGTCAGAATGTCCAAGATAAACTGATCTGGCATGCTACGACTGATGGGGTTTTCTATGTGAAATCGGCCTACCATTTTGCTGTCTATCTGGATAAAAGGAGGGGCCGTTGGAAGTTCATGGCTAGTTGGATGGATATGGCCAGCTAGATTCGGTTTTGGGACGTTAAAATCCCACCCAAGTTGAAATTTTTTGTTTGGCAAATCTTCAATAAGATCCTCCCATCAACAGAAGCCCCAATTGAGAAGGATATCCCCGTGCTTCCCAGGTGTCCGGTCTGCTGGGGTGACTCAGAGACAATGGAGCATTTGTTTCTGGATTGCCCAATAGCACATGCTTTTTGGGACCATTCGGGGATGGAGCATCTTGGGCAAGGATTGCATCGTCACACCTTTCCACTTTTCTTAAAAAAGTTGATGTCTCTTATTCACCAACCTTCTCTATTCATGGTTGTTGTCCCGATTCAGTGGAGGATCTGGAAATCTCGTTTCTGGGTGGTCTTTGAAGTAAAACAGTTCGAAATCCCAGCCTTGATGCAGCAATTTAACCAGCAGTATGAGGAGTGAGAAAGTTTGTCGGTGGATCGGGTTCTCCATTCTTCCATCCCCTTGATACAAAACTTGAGTCCTGGTGGGCCTCACTCTGCTGTTTGTATGTGAGATGGGAAGTAATGAGTGGGTCTCATTCGACAGGCGGGATGGTTATTATGAACCCAGGTAGAGAGATCCTTTTGGACGCTGCAGTGCAGTTCCCTTTAATTGATGACCCTATGGTGGTTAAATTGCTTGTGCTTCGTGAGGCTATCTTATGGTGTCTGGACCATGGCTTCACGGAGATGAGGTTTGAACGAGATGCTAAAGTGGTCATCGAGAAGGTCGTTTGGGCGGAAACAAGAGATAATCGGATGGGAGCGATTCTAGAAGAAATTGTGCAATACTTCGCAATTCATATTGGGTTAAATGTTCGTTTTTTAGGTCACCGTAGAAATAGGGTAGCCCATTTGGTGGCTAGAAAGGCCCTTTCTTTGTACCTGACTATGATTCGATTCTTTGAGTTCCAGGCCTAGCTGAACAACATGATGTAATTACCTATTTGTTGAATCAATATATGATTATCATTTTTTTTAAAAAAAGGGTCCCTACTGTTCCAGATGACGACCGTCACCAGCGGAGCCTCATCAAGTGTCGAAAGTGACGGACAAACCTGGGTTTCCCTTTTTAACATCTTCAAGCTGGATTATTACGAGCAGGATTTTATCAATGGTTCCCTCCGAATCCCTAAGTCGGTGATTGATGATGGAGAATATCGATGGGCAAACTGCTTAGTTGGTCATCGTCTGACTTCCCTCTCTTCCATTCACTTTTGGGTAAACTGAACTTGGGGAAGAGATGGGGCGATTCGAATTTCGTGGCTGGGGAAAAGGTTGGTGATTTTCCAGTTTCCTAATGCGGAGGTCTGTCGCTGGGTTTTCGAAGGGGGTTCCTGACATCATCGGGAAAACACGGTGTTCCTTCGCAAATGGGAACTAGGTATGCAGCCTCTTGGCTTGACTCTAACTACACATCCCAATTGACGGCTAAGTATAACCGACGACCGGGTGTAGCATAGGATAAGCAAGCAATACTAAGTTATCGTACCATGAGGATCTAAGCTTACCTTACTTCAGGCTTAGGGTTCGTTATCTAGCCACTACAAAAAAGACTGGCAGATGTTACCAGACGATTGGCGTCACAAAAGGCCTTTTCTCGTCACAATAGGGTTATTTTGACGAAATACGGTCGTTGGTGGGTCGTGGGGTAAAGGTCCCTCGCTAATAGTTTAAATGTACTTGCGTCAGAAAATCATACATTTGTGACAATTATTTTTTGTCATTATGCAAAATATCGTGATCAGAAAAGAAATGTACTTAACGAAATTGTTTGACCAAATATATTTTTAAGGGATAAAATATTTTTTGTGAGGAGTATATTTTGTTAGATAAACTATAATTGAGGAAAATGTGTTTGTTAGTAAATAAAACATTCGTTAATAAAAAAATGACATTTTTTTCCGAAAATACCCTTTGTACGTTTTGACCACAGTTGTTTGTCGTAAAAGAATATTTTTTGCGAGGGTTAATTATGTTCCTAAATTACCCCTGTGGTATTTATAATGAATATCTTGCGTCACTAAAGGATATTCCTAATAATTGTAAATTTAGTTTCCAACGAGAAAATAAGGTCAGAAGAAAATATCGAATATTTGTGATGCAAAAGTTTCGTAGGAGAAACTAATCAATTTAGACCAAATTTTGTGTTCATGTAACCAGATTGTTGCGTTAAAAATAGGATATTTGTCACACAAAATATTCGTCGGAAGAAACATATTAAATCTAACCAAATCGGTGTGTTAAAAAAAAATATTTTTAACATATAATATTCGTCGAAAGAAATATATTAAATCTAACCAAATTGTTGTGTTAAAAAAGAATATTTGTAACACAAAATATTCATCAGTAATGACTTACTAAAGCTAACCATTTTGTTGCATTACAAATAGAATATTTGAAACAAAAAATAATCGTGGGAAGCAACTCGACAATTCTAACCGAATTTCGTGTTACTGGAACCAAATTATATCGTTAAAACTACAATTTTGTCCGATATTGTAAATATTTTTACTACATATTATTAGTGATGAAAACTGATAAATAATAATAAAAAATTTTATTTTGCAGGTAATTTATAAAAAGCATAAAAGAAATTAACCAATGCAATATATTAGCAAAAAAGGAAACTTCTCCATAAAATTAGGTGGCATAACCACCAAACATGTCTTAAACAGAGACCACCTTCAACACTTGTTCAAACATATAGCAAAACAACCAAACACTTAACAGAACAAAACATAACATAGACATAATCCGATTGAAAAATGGAACTTGCAAAGTTCCTAAGACTGCCAGCTTCCTAGCTGCATAATCCGATTGAAAATTGGAACTTGCAAAGTTCATACTGTTTCCTTCTTCCTAGCGCTGCAAACTTAGTAATCATCATTATCAGGGGGAGCTGTTCTCATCGTCAATATCGTCCGCATCTTTATCATTCACTTCCTCGTCTCCATCTTCATCTTCATCTTCATCTTCATCATTCACCGCCTTGTCTCCAGCCTAAATTACAAAGTTAAATAGATATGAAAACTAAGGTTCATACAATTAATCATGTTCAACCAAATAAAAAAAGCAACAAACAATTACCATTGAGGACTCAACCAAAGTAACTCCTAGCCTCTTCAAGGTGTCCTCGACAATCTGAGGAATTCCATTCTTCACCTGCACTAGCTCTTCTTTCAGCATGCTTATCATATCATCATTCTTCACCTTCTCTTGCCTTCGGTCCTCTTCGCACCTTTTGCTGCAGCCCTGACCGGAGGTAGGGCCAAACACATCCACACCACTTACACCATAACCCATTCCCAGCACACGTTTCCTAGACTGTTTTCCTACAACCTCACCATAAATCGCAAACTGGTTCACCTCTTCCCCTTGAGTCAACTTCTCAGCTTCCTTATTCTTCAATTCAGCCTACACACATAGTATTTAATAACTAATACGCTGACTTTAAATGATTTTAAAAATGCAGAAGAAAGCTAAAATTACTTAACAAGCAATGTACTTACATGTATAGTCTGAGCTTTTGGGGTGGTGAATTCACCATTGGACTTCTTAACATGGAACTTCTTGAATGTCTCTATAGGATCTGGTTCTTTCCCAGTCTTCTTGATCTGCAAACACCAGAAAAAAACAGGAGCAGTGAGCTCACACTTCTCATAATTAGCTTCGTTCTTATTAAATACAAGAGAACAGATCGTGTTTTACCTGATCAAGCCTAAACTTTGCCATGGGAACAGATCCGCCAGTAGCAGTGATCTCAGACTTCTCACGATTGGCTTTGTTCTTATCACTGGTGCTCTGGCGGAGTGTACAGACAATAGAAATTAGATACAAACACAAATAATCATAGTACACAAGCTTAATTAGACAACAGTAATTACCTTCCAGTTTGGGTCACTCCACTTGTTAACCATATCCCTCCAAATATGAGCAGGGATTTCAGTAGGTGGATTGTTAAGCCTTTCAGCAAGGGTAGCATGTTCAGAGAATACTCGGTTACAGAACCCATACATCCACTGGGAAAAGTTCCTCTTGATATGTTCCTTGAGATGAACATTGAGTTCTTCCTCTGGCAGAGAGCATGTGAACCCAGATTCCTTGAAACGAGCAATCACGGTCTGCAAAGCAGAAGCAGGGTACTCTGAGAACCTTATCCATGGTCCAGTGATGCTCCTTTTGAAGATGGCAGTGAGTTCATGGGCAGCCTGTGGTGTGACGATCCTACAAATACAAGAGAAAGTGCATAAACATTAATCGAATCAATGGAAATTATTAGGTTCTACACACAAAAGGCTTGAAATTATATATATACCTGTTGTCATGACCCGGCTTCACCCCTATTCCAGGACCTCTGCCTTTCTTCTTGTGAGCCGAAGAACATCCTCCAGTAGAATGAGACCCCTGGCTTAGGTTCGCATCCTCTTCAAAAGCTATGTCATCATTCGGGATATGAACTTCTTCATTCTCAAGCTCATTCACTTGTTGTTCACCCTCCCTTTCTGCCTGCTGAGTTTCTGGCATGGTTTCACTTTCCTGAGTAACCACTTCGACATTCTCTACAGGGGCTGACCTTTCTGGTTCCTCCACTGGCCTTTTGGAAGGCTTTGTCTTCCCAGCCTTTTTTGGCCTTCCCATCTAGAAGAAACAACATTGACATTGTTATAGGGACAATTTAGGCACAAATAATACATGAAAAGGAAAGGAACCAAGAGAAAATTAATTACTTTGTGCAATCAGACTTAAGCTTTTCGTCTGTGGTTTTTTGTTTGCCTGAGGAGAGGGGTTCTATCTAGGTCGTGAGGTCTGCCGTTATAAAAGAAGAGGGATATATATATGATGTTTGGGGTAAAGACTACGGTAGATAATTGGGGTAAAGAATTGGAAACAGATGATGTTTATGAGTTGAATCGTCGACGAGTTGTTTCTAGGAATAAGGTAAGAAATTGAAAGCTAAAGACTCGATCGGATGAATCATCAAACGGGAAACTTAGAATTAATTGCGCAAGTTAAATGCAAAGTTATTAATCCAGACGCTTCATACCTCCCAGAAACTCTGCAATCAATTCCGATGGATCGCCTTCTCGCGTTGCATGTCTCGCGCCTCTCCATCCGATGGTGGATTCTCCGCTGTCTCCTTCATTGCGACTTAAAGCGTTTAGAGATTCCAGAACGATGCTTTGCTTCATTAAACCTTTCACTCGAATTGTGATTTGTGACACTGCCCTCGGCAATTTCGATTCAAGGGAAGACGCGCGAGCTCTCGATCGACGAAGCAGAAATCTAGGGATTCGTAGGAAAATGAAGAGGCAAAAGAGGCGGAGGGGAATTTCCCCTCCTCCATAGCCACATTCGATCGACAACAGCGTTTTAGAATTGAAACGTCTGGCGTTTCAGTGCGGCGACGGCGTTTCAGCAAATATAAGTTTTTTTTTTTTTGACCGTCGCAAATATAAGTGCCTTAACTGAATTTGAAAAAAAATATATATAAGTGCCTTAACATTATAAGTGATTTAAATGTAAGTGATTTAACAATTATTCTATATAACATTATAACATTAGGTATAATATAATAATTCATTTATGCTAATATACTTTTATATAAGTCATTTAAATATAGTAGTAAACATTATCTATATATACCTAATATATTTTTTTATGAATATAGTTATTTTAGATTTCAATTTTCTAACAAAACAATACTATAATGTATATGTTTAACTAAATCAAAATTGATAGTAATAGTAAAAGTAACAAGTTCATAATGTAGGAAAGCAAAATTTAAAAGTCATATTACATGATTAATGAAATTCTTCATGACCCATGCCACGCAGATTTAAGTTAACATCGTCGTCCTCATCCTCGATAACTCGACCCCCATTAGTCATACCATCTTCTTGGTATGCTTGTTCTTCTAAAATTTCTTCGACATCCGCCACATTATAAAAATTCCTCGGCCTTGTCTCAACCACCATGTCCCATTCCGGATCTCTGGCACACTGCACATAATACACTTGGGTTACTTGACTTGCCAAAACGAAAGGTTCGTCCGTTGATCGCCTTCGTCTTCTATGGAGGCTAATAACACCGTGACCATCCCTCCTATAGCCTACGCCTTCTCGCGTGGTGTCATACCATTCACATTGGAATAACACTACACGAAGCCCTTCAGTATATCGCAACTCTATGATATCTTCAATTACGCCATAGTAAGGAATCCCCACACCTTCCTCACCTCGCACCATGACTCCACTATTTTGACTTGTTTTTCTAATCTCGTGATCTTGCGTGTGGAATCTAAATCCATTGATGCAATATCCCGAGTAGTGCAACACTCGTTTGTCCGGCTCTCGAGATAAAGTCAACATAGATGGATGCAAAGTTGCAACATTGTCATCAATCATTTTGCCCACCTGCATCATCGAGCAGTTTTTTTTATTTCTTCTACACAAATATCATAATAAGACAACACTTCAAAAAATTTCGTGTCAGAATAGTTACCTGAATAGCGAACCACTTTTGGAATTCTTCCCTATGCACTCTCTCAACCATTCTCACACCGCGTCCAGCCAAAAAATCCTTGTGTTGTCTATATATATAGTATACGTACATATGCAAATTCTTAAAATAGTGATTATTAATGTAGCAATACTAACAGTATTGAAGAAGTATAAATCGTACGTACCGCCTAAATTTTTCGACTTCGTCACAGTTTTGCAAGACATAAAACGTTGCAGCCTTGAACAAATCATCATTAAAGTCCTTCATGATGAATGTACCAATGAAACGACCGACACGTGGCAGAATGGACAAATTATGTGGGTGAACGGTTCCCTCCGCAATACTATCATCATTTCTTTCTGGATGATTAAATCGAGTTTCCACATCCGTCATGTATTGCGAGCAAAATGTAACGCACTCATCAATCACGTATGCTTCAGCAATAGATCCTTCTGGTCTTGCCTTGTTACGAACCCAACCTTTCAATTTCTTCAGATACCTAGTAAAAAAAGTAGGAAAGATTAATAGTTAATCCTCTTCATTGGTAAAAAAACAAAAACAATAAATTTTAGGACATGTTTCAAGAATTAGTAAAAAAACAATAAATTTTTGGACATGTTTCAAGAATTATTAAAAAACGAAAAACAATAAATTTTTGGACATGTTTCAAGAATTAGTAAAAAAATAATAAATTTTTGGACATGTTTCAAGAATTATTAAAAAACGAAAAACAATAAATTTTAGGACATGTTTCTAGAATTAGTAAAAACGAAAAACAATAAATTAAAGATAATGAAATTCATACCTTTCCACAGGATACATCCAACGATATTGGACGGGTCCAGCAATTTTTGCTTCCCAAGGTAGATGGATGGCCAAATGAATCATGATATCGAAGAATGCTGGGGGGAATACACGTTCCAACTTACAGAGGGTTATGGCGATTTCAGAATCCATGGCTGATAACTCTTTCAAACTTAGCTCCTTCGAACATATATTCTTGAAGAAATTGCCAAACTCAATTAAGGGGTCCGCTATAGCCTTCGGAAAGAAGTCCCTAGCTGCAAGAGGAATTAATCTTTCCAACATGATATGGCAATCATGAGTTTTCATTCCTGAAATCTTCCCTTCCTGAACATTCACACAATTCCTCAAATAGGAAGAATAACCATCTGGAACCTTTAAGTTTGATATCCACTCGCAAAATTCCCTTCTCTGCGCTGGCAGCAAGCTATATAAAGCTCGAGGTAACACTGTTCTCCCGTTCCTCTCTATAGGATGTAATTCATTTCTCAATCCCATCTCCTGCAAATCTTTGCGGGCATTTAGACTATCCTTGGTTTTGCCTTCAATACTCATCATTGTACCCAAAACACTGTCACACACATTCTTCTCAATATGCATGACATCTAAATTGTGGCGTAACATAAGTGAACTCCAATACGGCAATTCAAAGAAAATGGATATTTTTTTCCAATTATGTTCTTTACCAAATCCATCGATCTTTTTACCCTTTCCTTTGATCCCAAACACAATTTGATTGAATGAGTGGATCTGATTTGATACCTCGAGTGATGACAATTGCCTTGGTCTGGGCCTCTTCTCTACTCTACCGTTAAATTGCTTCTTTTGTTTGCGCCACTTATGATCCAATGGCAAAAATCGATGATGATCCATATAGCACTCCTTATGCCCATTCGTCAACCTCAAATGCGATGTTTCCCCAGCACACGATGGACAAGCTAATTTACCTTTTGTACTCCATCCAGAAAGATTAGCGTAAGCCGGAAAATCGTTGATGGTCCACAACAATGCAGCTCGCATGATGAAGTTCTCCTTCTTGAATGCATCATAAGTTAACAAGCCTTCATTCCACAAAGCCTTCAAATCATCGATAGCAGGTCTCAAAAAAACATCAATACTATTACCCGGAGCTTTTGGGTCAGGAATGAGCAATGTCAGGAAGGTGAAAGGATTCTTCATGCACTTCCAAGGAGGGAGATTATACGGGAATAGAAGGACCGGCCACGTGCTGTGCTTGTTGTTCATATTGCCGAATGGGTTGAAACCATCAGTCGCTAGTCCCAAATGAACGTTGCGGGGTTCAGAACCAAAAGACGGGTCAAACTCGTCCAAAGCCTTCCAACCCTCTCCGTCACATGGATGCCTCAAGATCCCATCTTTCGAGCGGTTTAGAGCATGCCATACCATATCTTCAGCATTTTTGGAAGACATGAATAATCTCTGTAGTCGTGGTTTGATAGGAAAATACCGTATAATTTTGCACGGAATTTTCTTATCTCTGCCCTTCTTATCCTTATAAACTTTCTTCCACCTTGATTTTTTGCATGTGGGGCAAGATGTCGCATCTGCCAGCTCGGCGTAGTATAGGACGCAATCGTCCTCACATGCATCTATTTCTTCGTAGTGTAGCCCAAGGGCTTTCATAAGCTGCTTTGCTTCATAGTAATTCTTCGGAAGTGATTTAGCCATAGGAAATACAGCCCGAATATACTTGACCAACTGGGTAAATGAATTGTTACTCCAGTTATTCTCCCACTTGATTTTCATAAGCTTTGTGACGAATGACAATCTTGACACATTCGAAGCACATCCCTCGTACAACGGTGATTGGGCCTCTCCAAAAAGTTTGTAGAAATTTTGAGCTTGGGCATTAGGCTCTTCCGGATTCGCTAATGGAGCCATGAGGTCGTTCAGAACACCAAGCATATCATCTTCGCCCATATCGTTATCTTCACCCATATCGTCACCATCTGATCTATTTTCTTCTTCCATGTTATCATCACCCAATTCTGGACCTTCATCATCATCATCTTCTTCATCTTCATCGACCTCACCATGGTAAATCCATTTAGTGTAGTCACTTCTCATTCCCTTATAAAGAAGATGTAATTCTACCTGTTTCACTGTCATTCTACGCACATTACCACATTCCACGCAAGGACACCTTATTAGACCATCATCGTCTTTAACATGGTCTGTTGCGTACTTCGTGAATTTTTCCACTCCCGCAATGTACTGTGTACATGCTCGATTCTTCAATTGTATCCAAGCTTTGTCTATAGGTTCCATACCTACAGATGTAGAAAATTTACGTTGTTAGAAAATATTACAAACAAAGTAAAACTAACTAATTTACGTTTTAAAATAATTGTAAATTACAAACAAATAGTTAATCACATTCAATATAATTTTAATTGAATACCAACTAGGAAACTTAAATACTTCCACTTTAAGCTACCTAATCATATTCAATAAAATAATAAATTACAAAATAAAACATATTGTATGGACTAGATCGACTCCCAAAAAAAACCCCTTACCTTTCCTTTCTTCGCGTCCCAAAAAAACCTTTCTTCGCGAGCTTCCAGAGTTCTCAAAGGCGTCGACTTCCAGAGTTCCAGAGTTCCAGAGTTCTCAAAGGCGTCGTTCCAGACTTCCAGAGTTCCAGTCGTCTTCTCAATCGGCGGTGCACTCCGGAGGTGGGGAAACGGTAACTGCGGCGGTGTATTCCGGCGGTGGGGAATCGGTAACTGCGGCGGTGTATTCCGGCGGTGGGGAATCGGTAACTCCGGCGGAGCAGTCTGCCAGCGGGGAAACGGCAACTCCGGCGCTGCAGTCTGGCGGTGGGGAATCTGCGGTGCAGTCTTCTCAATTTGCTATTTCAGAGTTCATTCGTTCGATTGATTTGTTATTTGTTCTTTGGTCTGCAGAGGTTTTTTATAAAGAGTTTGTTGATTGAT